TAGTTTCTTTTACCTATTTATAAAAATGCCATATTTATTCTCCAATCAAGAGTTAGCGGATATTCATTTTGTGTATGGCTTTGTAAATGGAAACGTAGCAGAAGCAGCCAAAGAATACGCACGAAGATTTCCAAACAGACGACATCCAACTCGCTCAGTATTTGTAACAGTGCATCGCCAAATAATTGAAAATGGTTTTGGAAATCTCCAAAGGGATCAAAACATACATGTTGGTCAGCGCAGATTTACCCGTATGATTCTGCGTGAGTTTGATAGAGATCCGACCACAAGTGTCAGGAGAGTTTCTGGTGCCTTGGGAATTTCAGCAAGCCATGTTCACCGTGTTCTTAGAAATGACCATAGACGTCCTTACCATTTGCAACCTGTGCAAGGACTACAGCCAGGGGACGGAGAACGAAGAATCACATTTTGTCAGTGGATTCTTGATAGAATTGATAATAATAGGGAGTTTTTAAGTAACGTTTTATGGACCGATGAGTCATGCTTCACTAGACGTGGAGTGGTAAATTTTCACAATCAACATATTTGGTCGCATGAAAATCCGCATGCAGTTCGGGAAAGAAATTTTCAGCATGAATTTAGTGTGAACGTGTGGATTGGTATCTACCGTAATCGACTATTTGGACCCTACATTTTGCCTGCAAGGTTAAATGCTGCGACCTTCTTGGAATTCTTAAAGGCTGAACATGCAAATATGTGGGATGATGTTATGTTAGATTTAAGAAGATTGGCCTGGTTCCAGCTTGATGGTTGTCCAGCTCATTATTCGAGAATAGTTAGAAACTGGTTAGACGAAAATTATCCAGAAAGATGGATCGGCCCTGGAGGACCAGTCGCCTGGCCTCCACGATCCCCTGACCTAAATCCATTAGATTTCTTTGTGTGGGGATTTCTAGAAGAAAAAGTGTACCAGACTCCCGTAACCACGAGAGATATGCTAATAGACAGAATCAGGAATGCATGTGATGAAATAAGGCCTTATTTGAATAATGCTATACCACGTTCGATCATTCGTAGATGTGAATTGTGTATTGAACAATTGGGTTTACATTTCGACCAACTACTTTAGATTTTGTATGTTTGTCCTAACTATCCAATAGCATTTTAGTTGTGAATAATTAATTTAATTTGTTAAAAATAATATTGGAAAATTAAACAAATTAATATTCTGTTTTTTTGTTTTTATTTGGAGTTAGGAATTATTGCTGTGTTTAAAAACACAATCTAAACGATCATCTTAATTACTTGTAATGCCCAAATCGAAAATGTAAAAAAAATATTATTTTCCCATAAATAAATAATTAAAAATGCATCGAACCTTAAAAATCGAGATATCTCAAAAACGGCTAACTATAACGAAAACTCACAGAACAGCTTTTTTATGTTGAAAAGTGCGAAGAATCAGTTTTTTATTCAAAAAGCAAAAAATTGCACTAATAAAAAAATGTCGGTCATTTTAATACACTACAGGTACAGTAGAGAGCGCCCTCTATCGGCTACAGTAAAACTATGCCCATGGTTCGTTTTGTCGTACCAAAAAACTCTTGTATACCATTTGCAACCTGTGCAAGGACTACAGCCAGGGGACGGAGAACGAAGAATCACATTTTGTCAGTGGATTCTTGATAGAATTGATAATAATAGGGAGTTTTTAAGTAACGTTTTATGGACCGATGAGTCATGCTTCACTAGACGTGGAGTGGTAAATTTTCACAATCAACATATTTGGTCGCATGAAAATCCGCATGCAGTTCGGGAAAGAAATTTTCAGCATGAATTTAGTGTGAACGTGTGGATTGGTATCTACCGTAATCGACTATTTGGACCCTACATTTTGCCTGCAAGGTTAAATGCTGCGACCTTCTTGGAATTCTTAAAGGCTGAACATGCAAATATGTGGGATGATGTTATGTTAGTTTTAAGAAGATTGGCCTGGTTCCAGCTTGATGGTTGTCCAGCTCATTATTCGAGAATAGTTAGAAACTGGTTAGACGAAAATTACCCAGAAAGATGGATCGGCCCTGGAGGACCAGTCGCCTGGCCTCCACGATCCCCTGACCTAAATCCATTAGATTTCTTTGTGTGGGGATTTCTAGAAGAAAAAGTGTACCAGACTCCCGTAACCACGAGAGATATGCTAATAGACAGAATCAGGAATGCATGTGATGAAATAAGGCCTTATTTGAATAATGCTATACCACGTTCGATCATTCGTAGATGTGAATTGTGTATTGAACAATTGGGTTTACATTTCGACCAACTACTTTAGATTTTGTATGTTTGTCCTAACTATCCAATAGCATTTTAGTTGTGAATAATTAATTTAATTTGTTAAAAATAATATTGGAAAATTAAACAAATTAATATTCTGTTTTTTTGTTTTTATTTGGAGTTAGGAATTATTGCTGTGTTTAAAAACACAATCTAAACGATCATCTTAATTACTTGTAATGCCCAAATCGAAAATGTAAAAAAAATATTATTTTCCCATAAATAAATAATTAAAAATGCATCGAACCTTAAAAATCGAGATATCTCAAAAACGGCTAACTATAACGAAAACTCACAGAACAGCTTTTTTATGTTGAAATGTGCGAAGAATCAGTTTTTTATTCAAAAAGCAAAAAATTGCACTAAGAAAAAAATGTCGGTCATTTTAATACACTACAGGTACAGTAGAGAGCGCCCTCTATCGGCTACAGTAAAACTATGCCCATGGTTCGTTTTGTCGTACCAAAAAACTCTTGTATACCAATTTTCACTGTTATACATCAAGTATTGTTCGAAATATTTAAAATAAACTATTTTAGAAAGTAAATTAAAAACCCTGTATTTCGGAAGCCACGCATTTTTCGACCCACGTTTATATAGACTTTATGCATTAATTTTAAAAGTTCTATCGAATCTTAAAGTTATGCAACAATAAACTGAAACACCCTGTATAAAGAAGTCAATGTCAGTACTCCAAAATATTTAAATAGCTCTCTGCTCGAGTGGTGGTTACATACATTTGCTAAACATTTGATGATTTGTTTTTGAATTACAAACACTTCATTTGCATGGGATGAACTACCGCACAAGCAAATGCCATAACGAAGTCTAGACTCAATGAGCCCTTAATAGATATTCATTAGATCATGAAACAATTCACAGTGACTTTCCAACTCAAACACTCATCAATAAAGACTACGAAGAATTTTGTACCCTTTTGGCTCTCAAGGTGTACTTTTTTCAGACTAAAAAAATCAAGTTGATAATGGTTTCTCAAAAATCGAAACGTCGGGCACAAAATTCCAAAACACCATCATGTAGTGCCTGAAAAGTGCCAGTGAAGAATTTCCATTAGTTTTTTTGATACTTCTTAAAATAAAGTCTGAAAAAATAAAAAACAAGAACGCAGCGTTTCAATAATTGAACCTAATCTATATCTTCCAGAGGTATTTAGATCTCCATGCATAGGATTCTGATCTTGGCCACCCTGTATATTGAACTCCACTCTGTAACCTGACAGAATATTGTAATTATGACTCTCTATGCCACTCCAACTATGCAAATGATAGGGACTGGATTTTAGGCCAGGTAATGGAATACCATGCTGAAAACTGCAATCCATGCTGTTATATTCAAAATAAAATTTTCTCCATGCCACAGGCACGCAGCAGAATTTTCAACCGTACGCAATATTGGTTTAATATTGACGTTTAGTTAATCTGAAGCTTTGTCGATTATTTTATTGACGTGTAGTTCACCAAATTATGTTCAATTTGGAATGCTAATTTTAGTTAGTCCGGTTACGGCCCCGATAGTGATAAAAGACTGTATTATAGTCTCCGTATTTATCTAAATGTTGTCTCGAAATTTTGACATCCAGTTCGTAGTGATTTCCAGTCGTGAAGATTCAATTGGACTTGAACAGGTAAAATATCGAATCAAATATTTAATAAAGTATCGAAATGGAAGCTCTTTCAATTGTCTGCGAAGCCCAGATACTTCTTGCCGGAATATTAATTCTACTCTTTGATGTCAATGTAACGCGTAAAACACTTGTACAACATAAAAGAGAGTGATAGGGCATTTAGCTTGTGAAATCATTTTTTTAGAAAACGGACAAGTGTCACCAACTGATAATAGCTAAAAAGCATGAAATAACCTTGTGTACTGTTTTTTATGATGACAGAAACGGGATAGGAAACAGATCTTATTTATCCTAAGTAAAACACTGTATATTATTGTACAGTTGATCAAAAAAATATTGGCACATGCTATTTTTCCTTGAACCTCAATAAGGCCACAATCACCAGTTTATGGAGTAGCACCTTTTTTGTATCCACCTTACGTTTAGTTGTTTGTTTTGGTTTGAGTGCTACTCTCTCCATTTTTATGGGATTTTAACCTATTCAGCGTGGGAACTACCATCTGCACTCCTCCAGCATTGTAGCTGTTTTGTAGCCGATTTCAATGAGAAACCACCCCTTTCTCAAATCGCTACGGACAACCAAATGACTCGAGCGAGTTCAGACTTGTAAATAAGGCGTATCACAAGTTCCCCTGTCTCCCCTAAAAGCCCGGCGCCCCCAGTGTTGCCAGATCGAACGCTACGTTGCCAGTCTCGTCATTTAATTTGCAGACCTCGTAGATCTACATATATGTCTAAATTACACATCTATTTAATTGTATTTGGTGTGCAGTCCACAAAATCCATAGGGTCTACGACACTCTACCACGATATGGCGTATTGTCTGCCATTCGTACTCACAATCACACTGGGATTCAGCACTGCCTGAGGTATACAGAGAATCTGCACACTTTCCATTTCATGTTCTAACCCGATGTTATGTTTACAAAAAAATTGTCTAGGCCTAGGTGGCCGCAGTAGTAGACTCTTCGGTCTCCTGATCAGCCGCCGTGCGCTGTGCGGGTTCGAGTCCCATCCCAGGAGGAATTTTTCTCTTGGCTATGGATGTTGTGATTGTCCGTAGGTGGTAGGCGGTCTCTGACTGTCGAACGCGGAGGTACCACCCGGCGGATCTCGTAGGCGGAGCCAGAATGTGTGCATGTTACATGCACACGTGTTCCCTCGCCAGAGTCCGTGTGGCGTCCCCCCCTTTCCCATCTATCCCCCTATAGCCCCACGGTACCCAATGTGTGCTTAGGGCTTAGGCCTTCGTGGTAGTTGGAGTATAAAAAAAAATCATCTTTCCGTTATTGAGATTCAAAAAAAGGTGTGTGCCAATACTTTTTTGAGCCACTGTACATGGAAGGAGGATATGATAACGGTGATTCTATCGATTAGCGAACACAGCGGTATCAGAGGAAAACAAGCCTTCGGCGTCAAACGGCCCATATTTTCCGTCAGCCTTCCGTGTCACACGGCTGTAAACGGAGAAAAGTCCTTCTGATGTCTAGGCTTTTACTGAAATTGTGGTGTCAATGTGATTCATTACTAGGAGTGTCGCCTTTTTCTCTTCTTTTCTTTCATAATTACAATTTGTTGCGGCACGACTCTTAATGCCCGACCATTTGTATCTTTTAATAGATCGTCATAATTTTCTTTCTCTTGATCACGGATTTGTGGCGCGGAGACCTGAAAAATGGTAAGAATGTCTGCGACGTCCCGCCAGATGCCCCGACACATTTATTAGCGAGATTTAGGGCCGGCACCGCAATATCACGCACAAATTTATATAGGGCATCTCTGCCGCGCAAACCGTAATGGTCGTTTCTAACCTTTTCACGAAATGCCGTTTTTGATTCATTATATGAGGAACATTTTTAAACGCGTCAAGTAGATTTCAATTCTGCCATCATATAGATTATGTTCGGTTTATTTCCAAACCGAACGAGATACGAACTATCATTCCAAAATAAAAATCTAGAAAAGCAGATATAGAGTAAACCTACTTGGAACAGATTTCTGACAAATGGAATATGATTTCCATTATTTTTCAAATTTTTGATATGTAGCTGACTGGTTTGTATCTTGAATATTTGTAAAATGAAATAAAATACGTCTATTTTTTTCATTTTAATCTTTTATTGGAACTCAGGAATGATGTACGGAAAATAAAGGTCCGCCTCTAGAAGCCGCGCAAGCCTGAGCCCTCTTGATTACATTTTCCATTACGTTTTGGTAGGTTTCGGGAGGAATATTTTCAATCGCTTCCGTAATATTGCTCTTCGGCTGCTCTACAGTATTTGGCTAGATAGCATAAACCCTATTTTTCAAAAATCCCCATAAAAGAGTCAGGAGCCGTTAAATCCGGTGACCTTGGTGGTCAGTTAAATATTGTTAGCAGAAGATCCATTGTTCCCTATCTGTGTGATAAATTGCTCCGTCCTGCTGGAACCACATATTTTGCAAATTAAATTGTTGGATTTAAGGAGGCATAAAGTTTTGCACCATATCACGGTAACGCTTGCTAATGACAGTAAGAGAATTACCTGCAGCGTCTTCAAAGAAGTAAGTAATGACACCTCCATACCAAACATCGCACCAAGCTGTGACTCGACGAGGATGTAGTGATCGTTGATGGATGACACGAGGGTTCTCTAATGCCAGATATGACAATTCTGCTTACGAGGGATGTCTTTTAAGTTTTGCATATAGAAACATAGTAGGCGACGCGGATCGAACGTCAGTACTGAATCTTAAGCTCACTCTTTAGTAAACGTGCAGTGTTCTCACTACAGTGAATTTTTAAATGTCACCAAGTCATTAGAAAAATGGAACTCAATCGAGAAGATTTTCGCGCCATAATTTATTACAACTTTCAGAGACAATTATCGCAACAAGAATGCCTTGCTGAGTTACTGTCGGTTTTCGGCAACGAAGCGCCACATCAGTCGACGATTTTCCGTTGGTATGGAGAATTCAAACGTGGACGGGTGGGTGCACCAAAAACGGCAGTCTCCCAGGAAAACGTCGATGTGCGCAAACTCATCATTGAAGATGACATGTGACATATCGCGAGATTCAGGCATCCTTGAAGATCTCAAAGACCTCAATTCAAAAAATTTTACATGAAGAATTAGGAGTAAGAAAATTAGTTTCTCGTTGAATACCCCACCTGTTGACTGAAGAGCAGAAAGCAGCCAGGGTTAATTGGTGTCAAAAAACGCTTGGCCGTTTCAATTCCGAAAACTCAAAAAATGTGTACAGCATTGTTAGTGGTGATGAATCGTGGATTTACTGTTAGGAACCAGAAAATAAACGACAGTCGGCTGTTTGGGTGTTCCAAGGTGAAGAAAAGCCAACAAAAGTCATCCGTTCTCGAAGTGTTCGAAAAAGATGGTTGCGACATTTGTGTCAAAAGCGGGTCATATTGCAACCATTCCTCTTAATGAACAAAGAACTGTTACTGCGGATTGGTATACCACCATTTGTTTGCCAAAAGTCATCACCGAGCTTCGAAAAGTCAACCCCGAAAAAAGAATCATCCTACACCAAGACAATGCAAGCTCGCACACAGCCCAAAAAACAAGGCAGTATTTAACGGAAGAAAACGTGGAATTACTGGACCATCCTCCATATAGTCCCGATCTAAGCCTAACGATATATTTACTTCCCCGAAAATTAAAAACAGACTGCGTAGTCAAAGGTTCCAGTCACCAGAAGAAGCAGTTGACGCATACAAAAATGTCGTTTTGGATCTGCCAGCAAACGAGTGGAATAAGTGCTTCGAAAATTGGTTCTAGCGAATGCAGATGTGTATTAATCATCGTGGAGAATACTTCGAAAAAAATAAAGTCATTTAAAACTACCTACCGTGTTGTTTTATTTCCATATGCAAAACTTAAAAGACATCCCTCGTATCAACAAATCCGTTCACATCTATCGCTCATTTTATCAGTTGTCGGTAAAAATCGTTATTTTGGGTATTAAGCTGCAATATGCATGACTGTATTGTCGGCGACTTTCATGGTCACTAGGCTGTAGTTCTTGGGTTAACTGAATTTTGTATGGCCGCAAGTGCATTTTTTTTTTCAAATAGTACATAATGACGTGCGACGAATACCCAGTTAATGAGAACAATGTCTAGTACACGTCTCAGGGCGCTCCACTACACTTTCACGAACTGTCTCGTTATTTTCCCGAGTACGAACAGTTCGAACACGGCCCGACCTTGGCAACTATTTAACTTCACCTGTTTGTTCAAATTTTCACATCAACTGACGAATGGTGTTGACACTGGGCAGATTATTTCGAGCGAAATCTTGTAGTAGCTGCCAAATCGTTGCAACAATCGACTCATTATTTAAGTAAAACTTTTTAACAAAAAGGGCGCGTTACAAAGATTATTCAACACCTTTTCCGATGAAATTGACTGTCAATACGTTGAACTGCTTTTTCACTCTGAAGTCCAATGGTTAAGTAGGGCACTAGTGCTGAAACGTTTTAAAGATATCGTATCGGCCATAGTTCAATTTTTCAAACAACGTGATGAACCGATTCCGGAACTGGAAAATTCAATCTGGCTTAGATATTTTGGTTTTCCTGTGGATTCTTACAGAAAAATTAAATAAACCTAATTTGCAGCTTTAGAGGAGAGACAAAGAGCTAGCAGAAATGATTTCTGATATATAAGCGTTTATCAAAAAGCTTGAGTTTTGGGAACAAAACTTAATCGATGGCAATACCAGTCAAAGTCCATTAGAACCATATGACACTAAATATCATGTAGAAATAGTCTCTAACTTGAAGGATAACTTCAAAAATCGTTTCTAAGATTACAACGAAATTGCTATAGTGGCGCAATTGGTTGTTTCACCCTTCATGCAAATTGATATCCAACAGTTTGCAACTTCTGTTACGAAGAATTTTAGCAAAGACATCGCTGCGGCAGAAATGGAAGTGATTGCGTTTCAAACTGATCTAGCTTTAAAATGATTAGTCTCGAATACAAAATGTATCCGGCCTTCACTAAGTATAGATAAATATGTAGCTTTATTTCGTGTTGCCGTTATTTGGTTCAAAATATTTCTGTGAATCTTTTTTTCAAATATGAGGCTTATTAAGAACAAATACCATAATCGACTTACAGATGAATATTTGGATAATTGTGTTCTAATAGCAGTATCAAATCATACTCCAAACACTTGACGCATTTTACATCTGGAAATGTTTTTGTTTAAAATAGTAAGTTGCTTTTTTTGATTTTTAGTTCCCTTTATTGAAAAAAGGTTGGCGACCACTGCCTCAGGTCTTCATTGTGGTTCAAGCATAAGAAAATAGACATTTGAAGCTTTAAAATGCTTCTCTTAAACCCTCCATAAGACCATCTTTTAGCGAGATACTGCACTTCAAAAAATCGCAAATTTACAGATTCCATTAAGCTCCTTAATTTTTCTCATTTTTATCAGTTTATCGGCCTGTCGTCAGTCTCTTTGTCCACCTGTCTGATTTCTTCTTCGCCGATTTGTGTTGACGTACATTTATTAAAAGAGAACCTGCACCTGTGAAGCTTTAGTACATCTCGCGCACGCTGTATAGCTATCAAGGGAGGGAGTAAAAGTTTGAAGAAAATTAATTAAAAACTGTTAGGTAATAGTTATGGATAAAAGAGACAAGGAAACTGGCTCGGAGCGGCAAGCAACGGATTTAAACTCGACGCGGAGGTGGAAGAGCTCTGAGCAGGAATATCCCATGAGGCAGCAGGAATATAGCGGCAGGATGTTAACCAGGGCTAAAAGCCAAGGGTTAAATACTAATACAAACGACTCCTCACCCCACCCAGGGCCAAGGGATAACAATACAACATCTCCGGCCGACTCTATGGCTCTCACAGGAAAAAGCGCTGAATATTTATCATAATTAACAAATTTTATGTCTGCCCCGGGCGCAAAAGAAAAAGGAGTAAGGCGAACAAAAAGTGTGATTAAAATGACTGGGATACCTGTCATTATGTTACAGAATGCCTTCATTAGGATTAATAAGTTATGAATTATGAAACAATACTGTCTTTTTTCACCCCTTTGTACTCACTCCT